TGCAAACTTTGCGCAAAGTTTGCATCATTTTGCTTGCTGGGTTCCTTTACACCGTCTTCGTATTTAATGTAAACAAACATATTAAATTATTAAATTAAATTAGAACAATATTACACATGCTATTTTGCCGGTAGGTTCACTCCCGCCATATTGAGACATAAAAAGGCCTTTGCACAAAATTTTAATCGTAACCGTAAGGCTGTAAGAAAAGTGACAATCGCAGTCGATTATTCTCTTATTATTGGCCAATTTTCTTACGCCATACGGTTAAATACGACTAAAACTTTTTTACATGCAAAGAGCTTAAGATCTGTTTTTTAATGTCACCCTGATGCGTTATTCCGTTAATTGATATTATACATATTTTATTCGAAATGAGTGATAGCGATGAAAATGGTAATCAATTGCCACGAAAGCGCAGGAGATATAATAAACTTCTTTTAGATTCTAGCATTAATACTCCGTTAGTAAGCCGACAAACTTTGATACGATGGTCAAAACATGTTCAAGGTACAAATTAAAAAAGTAAAATAATTAATCATTTTTCTAATTTTGCTTTTAAGTGCTAATATAAATAAATAGACTATTGTATAAAACTATATGATTTTTAAATCACATTGTTTCTATGTGGAACTCATATAAATAGAGTTGCATAAATATATATTTAACTGATAATAATCTTCTCTTGCTAAAATAGTCCTCTCGGCAAGATTTATCGTTTCTCACAATTTGTCACAGAAGTCCTGAATCACTCAATCATTACAAATTCCGATTATTTTGGTTCTTATAAAATTTTACAAAAGTTTCTCAAATTTCAAACTTACAAATGACTGTTTAAAATATGTTTTGAATAAAGTAATTTTCTTGCGGTATAAGTCAAATATAAACTTTATTTGCATTAACAAATAAATTATAAAAAAACAATATACAGCAAATGTAAAAGATTTTTTACAAATTTTTTCAAGTAGCAAAAGAAGATTATTATCAGTTAAATATATATTTATGCAACTCTATTTATCTGAGTTCCACATAGAAACAATGTGATTTAAAAATCATATAGTTTTATACAATAGTCTATTTATTTATATTAGCACTTAAAAGCAAAATTAGAAAAATGATTAATTATTTTCAAAATTGAAATATATTCTTTATTGAAAAAGAGTATTATTTCTCGGAAAAATAAAATAGAAACAAATCATTAAATTTATTTTTAGATGTAAAAGATCTTATGGTCTCTTCGAGTTCTAGTTGTGAAACAATGAGTAAACTTATTCCTGAACAATCAAAAAATATTGATATACATTTTTTTGAAACTGATAAAGATAAAAATAATGAAAATAAATGCATTAAAGAAGATAATGAAAAAAATGGAAACGAATATGGAAATTATGAAACAAATAATAAAGAAGATAAAAATAATGATGAAGTAAGTGCAAGTAATGATGCGATTTCAGAAGTTTTTGAAAATTATTTTGATGATTCAAGTATAAATGAAGACAAAAACATGAAAAATGATAAGACCATAATGTTTGAAAATTCACAAACAACAGTTTTCCAAGTTATTCTAATGATTCATACTTATTGCGTGCGATTCAATGTATCTGATGAAGGAAGGCATGCTTTATTTAATATGGCCAAAATTTGGGCAGACCCAAAAGTTGAAAATATTAATTATACGAAATATAAACTAAGTAAACGTTTAGACCCTACGGAAAATATTTATCAATACATTTTTTATTGTTCTAAATGCAATTGCCTACTAGGAAAATTTGTAAAAAAAGATTTGATATTAAATACTCAAAGTATTTGCGACAAATGCCAACAAAATTATAAAATAACTACTAATGCAATGAATTATTTTTTGAGTATAGATGTTAAATTTCAAATGAAGACTTTATTAGAAAATGTAACTATACGTAAAATGTTAATGGAAAATATAACTATTATTAAGAATAGATTAAAAAAGAAAAGAATAAACACTATAAATGATGTATATGATGGAGAATTGTACAAAAATTTATATAACAATCAACAGGAAAACACTATCTTATTAACTTTTAATTTCAATTCTGACGGCGCACCGATTTCTAAAAGTAGTAAAAGTGGTATATGGCCTATTCAGATAATAATTAATGAGTTACCACCTCGAGTGCGGTTTAGATATATTTTGCTTGCAGCAATGTGGATGACGAGATCTGAACCAAGTCCACAATTTATGAATTTGTACATGAAGATATTTATTGATCAATTAAGAAATCTGATGGAAAATGGAATTACAATAAAATTATCTAACAATAAAGAAATTATCTTCATACTAAAACCTTTGTGCGCAGCAGTAGATTCAGTAGCACGACCTGTTATGCAAAATCGTTTGCAATTCAATGGTCATTATGGATGTAGTTGGTGCTATCATTTTGGAAAATACGAAGATGGTGCTATGCGATATCCTTTTGAAGATGAAGATTCTCTTTTACGAAATTGAATAACCAGGCATAATGCCCGGTCTACAATGAGGGCCAATTTCACCAAGTCCGGCTAGGGTGCGTTCCGTTTCACGCATTGAGTGCATAGATCGCCTGGAAATCTATAATATATGTTACGTGAACTATAGATTTCCAGGCGATCTATGCGCTCAATGCGTGCATAAAAAATGATAAGACCATAATGTTTGAAAATTCACAAACAACAGTTTTCCAAGTTATTCTAATGATTCATACTTATTGCGTGCGATTCAATGTATCTGATGAAGGAAGGCATGCTTTATTTAATATGGCCAAAATTTGGGCAGACCCAAAAGTTGAAAATATTAATTATACGAAATATAAACTAAGTAAACGTTTAGACCCTACGGAAAATATTTATCAATACATTTTTTATTGTTCTAAATGCAATTGCCTACTAGGAAAATTTGTAAAAAAAGATTTGATATTAAATACTCAAAGTATTTGCGACAAATGCCAACAAAATTATAAAATAACTACTAATGCAATGAATTATTTTTTGAGTATAGATGTTAAATTTCAAATGAAGACTTTATTAGAAAATGTAACTATACGTAAAATGTTAATGGAAAATATAACTATTATTAAGAATAGATTAAAAAAGAAAAGAATAAACACTATAAATGATGTATATGATGGAGAATTGTACAAAAATTTATATAACAATCAACAGGAAAACACTATCTTATTAACTTTTAATTTCAATTCTGACGGCGCACCGATTTCTAAAAGTAGTAAAAGTGGTATATGGCCTATTCAGATAATAATTAATGAGTTACCACCTCGAGTGCGGTTTAGATATATTTTGCTTGCAGCAATGTGGATGACGAGATCTGAACCAAGTCCACAATTTATGAATTTGTACATGAAGATATTTATTGATCAATTAAGAAATCTGATGGAAAATGGAATTACAATAAAATTATCTAACAATAAAGAAATTATCTTCATACTAAAACCTTTGTGCGCAGCAGTAGATTCAGTAGCACGACCTGTTATGCAAAATCGTTTGCAATTCAATGGTCATTATGGATGTAGTTGGTGCTATCATTTTGGAAAATACGAAGATGGTGCTATGCGATATCCTTTTGAAGATGAAGATTCTCTTTTACGAAATCACAACACTTTTATCCAAAATATGATAGAAACTGAAGAAACTAACAAATTTGTAATGGGCGTTAAAGGATATGCAGAAATTACTAATCTCGATAATTTTGATTGTATATGGGGTTTTCCATTTGACTATATGCATGGTCTCTTACTTGGTACGGTTTGTACTTTATGGACAAAAATTTGGACAGTGAAGGGAACAAATAAATTCAATCTCTCAAAGAAAGATATAAAAAAAGTCGAGGAAAGATAATTAAACATTAGAATGACTCGCGAAATTCATCGTACTCCTCGTTCATTCAATGCTGGAAAATGGAAAGCTAGCGAATGGAGATCTTGGATCTTATACACAAGCCTTCCATGTTTGTTAGAAATATTAGAAACAAAATTTTTAAGCTCTTTTGCATTACTAGTACGTTCAACACACATTCTTTTATCTGAAAATATAACAGTCAAGGATCTGGAACAATGCAGAATAGATCTCATTCGATTTACTGGAAATTGTAAAGAGTATTATGGATTTTCAGCTATGACTTTCAATACTCATGCCTTACTACATGTAATTGATCATGTATACAAAAGTGGTCCACTTTCTATGACTTCTACTTTTCCATTTGAAAACGGAATTTTTGTATTAAAACAAAAATTAACAAGTCCGAAGGGTGTTCTGAAACAAATATCGAAACGTTTAATTCAGAAAACTATATTGGAAAGCAAGCTATTGAATACAAATGATGATATCTCTTTTCAAGTTTGTAGAAATTTATTGAACAATAGTTACATATTAGGCAGAAACATTTCAAAAACCTATTCAAATACACATTTGTTAGCTGAGGACAATAACA